CCCCCCTGCTCTTTTTTTTTTTTTTTTTTTTTTTTTTTTTTGAGGGTTTTTTTTTTTTTTTTGGCCATAGAGCACATTCACTTGCCAAAAAAATTGATAGAATACGAGAAACCACACCACCTCCCTCCACCACCCCCCCAGTAAATCCATGCTGCAATCCCTTCTCCAGTCTCCTCTCAGAATTTTGGGCACACACATCATGTACCCAGTGTGCGATTCAAGCCACTGGGTCCAGGATTCAAACTGTGATTGGCCATTTAGGAGTCCAGCACCTTAAGCTCTACTCTACCTGCTGGCCCCCACAGACCACTTTTTAAAATGTTTCTTCTACAGGGAAGAGGGACAAACAATTACTAACGGGATCTTTTTATGCTGCAATTCACCTCCACAGCCTCAGCCACCCAATCCTGGGCAGATACATGCTCATGTAGAAAGGCTTTGTGACATGAATCCAGGACCTTCTCGCAGAGGTCTAGCATCCCCAGGCATTGTTACTGCTACATCACTAGATGGCCAAGGCCTAGACCTCTTGTCCTACTTTCATACTTTCTATTGTTATTTCTTCAATTTGCTATAGGATGTATATACTCACAAGAGACAGAGGGAAAGTGATGAAGCACTTCCCAGGGGAATGGCCACACTGCAATCTCTTTTTCTGCCTGGCTTGTTTTTCAAGCACCTGAGTCCAAGACTCAAACTGCAGTCGGCTAGGTGGGGATCCACCTGCCTTTCACAGTGAGAAGAGGGTAAGAACCTCCAGAAGGTCTCACCACATTGAGATCCTCCTTCTAGCCAGTGAAAAGATCAATCTGCAACTTTGAAGTGTATTTTTTTTTCCTATACAAAATTGGTAATTTTATTCCTTCCATGAGTGAGACATGGCACCCCAATAGGGTCTTGACATAACAATTCACCCCCAGCTTCAGCCATCCCCAGATCACATGAGTGTATTGTTTGTACTCAGGTCTACAGATGGAAAATTAGAATCTTGCTTGTGTTTCACCCTTACAGAGCTTCATGTTTGTTTATCATCCCACCAGTGCTTGGCAGGCTATACAATTTTTAGAAAAAAAAAAAAAAAAAGGGTATTATGGTAATATATGTAACAAAATTTACCATTTTAACCAATTTTAAGTGTAGTTCTTTGGCATTAAGTATATTCACATTATTGCACAACTCCAACTCTAGAACTTCTTACAACTCAAAATTTTATACCCATTTATGCATTAATTCTCCACTGTCCCCTTTATACATACTTTTAAAAAATTTCTCTTCAAGGGTCAGCAGGTGGTGTGGTGGGTTAAGGTGCTGCTGGATTCCCACAGTGCAGTTTGAGCCCTAGACCTGGTGGCTGTTTTTACTTTCCCTCTCTCTAGAGAGTGCATGTGTCTTATAGCAAGTTAAAAAATAGTAAGTAATAAATCAAATTATCCTTAAAAAATTTCTCTTCCATGAGCTACACTGATAGTATTCCCCCAACAGGGTCTCAATGCCATCACCAACTGCCAACCGCAGGATCATGGACATGTCTGTACCCAGCATACTGTAAAGCCTCTGGATGCAAATCTGGAAACTTACCATGTGAGTCAGCTGGCAGAGCATTGCTTTTTTTTTTTTTTTTTTTTTTTGGCTCCTCTCGGGATCTTGGGCACGCACGCACACGTGCCCAGCGTGAGTTCTAAGCCACTGGGTCCGGGATGCGAACCACGGTCAACTACGTGGGAGTCCAGCAACATAGCCATTACGCTAACTGCTGTTTCCCAGAGCATTGCATTTTTGGTTGCGTGATTGTCTGGCCCATATGTTATGTTGTTGGAAAAGTCATAATGCATTTTGCATAGAAAAACAGAAAAAATACATCATGACTTTCCTGATAATACAATATAAACCTTTATCTTTACAAATAAAAGGGATTGGGGAAAAGTAGTAATTGGACACATGCACTAGCCAGACAGAAACTGAGAAATCACCCCCAGGGAGGATGGCCATACTGCAACCTCTTCTCCCCTTGGAATTTTGAGCATGCACACACACACACCTCCCTGGCTTGAGTTTCAAGCCACCAGGTCTAGGACTTGAACCACAGTCAACCACACAGGAGTCCAGCACCTTAACTGTTATGTCACATCCTGGTCCTGAGCTATATATTCTAAAATGCTTCACTCAACTATTCATATATCCATGTTCAATTACCTTGGAAGGATAGTCCACTTTCCTCTTTAATAGTCTAAATTTTTGGGATCAGCAGATGGCATAATGGCTACATCGCTAGACTCCCACGTACTCAACCCTGGTTTGAGTCCCAGACCCTGTGGCTTAAACTTGTGCTGGAAACGTGGCATGTGTAACCAAGATCCCAGGAGGTGAATGGAGGAAAAAAAGATTGTAGTATGGCACTACCTGCGGGCGGGGGGTGGGGGGGGGGAAGGTTGATGTGTTGTTTTCTGTCTCATTCTGGTGAGGACACACGCCTTATAGCAAAGGAAAAAAACCTCTTAAAAAAAAAAGATTTGGGCTACATACACAAGCTCTTGGCATGTTTTTCAAGCCATTGATGCCAAAAGTCAAGCCTTAGTTGAAGGGGACCATGGCTATGTCGCTGAACTCCCATGTAACCAATTGTGGTTCGAGTCTCAGACCCAGTAGCTTAAACTCACGCCGGGCACATGTGCCCAAGATCCCAAGAGGAGAATGGAGGAGAAAGGATTCCAGCGTGGCCATCCCCCCTGGGGGGTGATTTCTCACTTTCTATCTCTCTGGCAAGCACATGCGCCCTATAGCAAAAAACAAACAAACAAACAAAAAACCTCCAAAAAAAGAAAAGAAAATGCATGAGAAAAGCCCATGTTAACTTTTTAAAAATAAACTTTATTTGCTTAGTTTAAGAGTGACGAGAGAGAGAGAGAGAGAGAAAGAGGAAAGTGAGAAAGCAAGCTGGCAGGTCTGGGACTCGAATCATGGTCAGCCATGTGGGAGTCCAGTGCCCTTAACCACCATGCCACCTGCTGGCCCCTTAACAACCTTTTTCAAAAGGTCACCTAAAACACTCTCCTCTGACATTAAGATCATTTAAGTGTGTGACTACTAGAATGTGGGCTTAAGATGAAAACTATTTAACCTTCCTTCAGCATAATTACAGTATTGAATACTCTTAATATTTTTAACATGGTATACACAAGCACATAAAGGAAGAGTGAAAAATCAATTTTTAAGGAGAAAAGGCAAAGGTTACATATTTAGGTGTAAGAAAAAAAATCAATCCAGTTTATATTTCTGTACTGTATACCACAATAAAGACACAATTCCATTTCAAAGAAATTAACTTTTATTTGAAAGAAGACTACTTTTATACCCACATCTTCTAAGGAGTCTGTATTATACAGTAGCCTGCTTAACCACTGCCCCAATACCAAAATTTCTAATATCAAATTATACAATTAATTGCTCTAGGTAATAAATAAAGGTTGTTCTTCACTGATTAAGGGAACACTTAAAACTTCAATAAGTTGAACACAAAAATCACACTTTAAGGTTTAACAGATATATTTCAAATATAATGTATTTTGCAGGACCCCACAATCTTTTCATCTCTAAAAAATTACTTCATTCTTAAAGTTTGAAAATTCTGTTCTTCAAAATGTCCACTGTCTTCATCTAGTGTCAAACTTTCAATACTCAACTATTTGACCTCTCCATGCCACCCCAAACCTGACGTGACTACTTCATATTTTACCATCTTTCCCAAAACAAATTAAACAAGATCTCTAACACAATGTCTAATACATTATCTACACAAAAGCTTCAAAAAGGTAACTTCTTTCCCATTGATTAACTAAGAGTTAATCTATAAAAGAAAAAAAAGTCATCTGTAACATGTAACACTGGGGTTCCTTTTTTTTTTTTTTTTACTAAAGATGTAAAAACTCAAAATGACAATTACATTTTTAAGAGTATAATAAAAGGGGTGAGAAATACAACTGACAGAGTGTACAACCTAAATAACCAGGTTTTTTTTTTTTTTTTAAGATTTCTTTTTAAGGAGCAGGAGAAATTAGAAGGTTGGAAAAATCAAGAATCAAACAAACAATAAAAGAAATAAAGTCTTTAACTGCAACCATTCCATTATCAATAGCGTCCTGAAAGAGAAAGACCAAAAATAAAGTTAAAATGATAATAAAAGTTGGAGATGTCTAATACTGTTCCACCTATTAACCACAATCATACCCCCTCTAACATTAAAAATAAGCCACGCATTAGAAATAAGGTTTTTCAATGCTACAAAAGCAAAGTTCACGTACTTGGGCTGTAGGAACGAGATCTTGATCGAGATCTGTAACGACTATAATAAGGAGAAGGTGATCTTCTTCTGTAAGAAATGAAACATTACTTAATATACACCACAGAATCACTGAGGCAGATTAAAGTAAAAATTTCTTATCACTCAAAATAATAATGTACCCAAGATGATAACTATTAAATTCTCTGTATGCTGGGGCCAGCAGATGGCATAGGGGTTTAAAGCACTGACCTCCCACACGGTTGACCAAGATTCAATTCCTGGTCCTGGAGGCTTGCTTTCTCACCCCCCTCCCCACTCCCTGTGCTCTCTCTCTGTTGGTCATGCATGTCTTGTAGCAAATTCAAAAATAATAATGACAAATAAAATTAAATAATTTTTATTTTGGAGAGATTTTTGCTATAGGACGTGTGTGCTCACCAGAAGGTGAGAAATCACTCCCCGGGGGGATGGCTACGCCGCAATCCCTTCCCCTCCATTCTCCTCTTGGGATCTTGGGCACGCATGCACATGCACCCAGCTTGAGTTTACGCTGCTGGGTCCAGGACTCAAACCGCGGTCAACTACGTGGGAGTCCAGTGACATAGCCATTATGCTAACTGCTGGTCCCTCCTCTTAGAATCTTGGGCACACACACCTAGCTTAAGTTTCAAGCTGCCAGGTCCATTACTCGAACCCCAGATGAGTACATGGCAGTCCAGCAACTTAACGTTACACCATCTGCTGATTCTCCCCCTCCCCCAGTTGTTTTTCAACCTGCCAAGTTTGGACTAGAACTGTGCAGTTGTTCATATAAGATCCAGCCACCCACAATCTGTTTCTGTTTCATTTTTTAGGTTTTTGCCATAGGGCTTCTGTGTTCACCAGAGAGAGAGAGAAAATGAGAAATCACCCCTCAAGGGGGATGGCTACGGTCCAATCCCTTCTCCAGTTTTCTCTTGGGATTTTGGCCACCCAAATACACATAACCCATTGTGATTTTCAAGCCACCAGGTCTGAGGCTCAAAACATAGTCATTCATATGGGAGTACAACACCTTATGTCACCTACTGGTGACACAATCTATTTTAAATATCAACATTGTATTCATATAACCAAACCTAAGTTCCAAATAACACCAGTACAGTATTATCGTTTAATTTAGAATAGAAATCTCAAAACATTACCTGTACCGGTAATCATAGTCTTCATATCTATCATATCCTCGATCATATCCTCTATCGTAGGTAGTAAGAATCTTGACGTCTGCCACCACCTCCACCACCGCCACCACCGCCGCCACCACCACCTCCGCCACTACTGCAAATAAGTAAATAAATACTGTGTATCAGCGTAAATGACTATCTTTCAGTATCATTTATAAATAACATAAATTGGTAGCTTCAATAAAAAGGGAGAAAGAACCACCATGATTGCTATTCTGCTTTGACGTCTTTTTTTTTTTTTTGAAGTTTTGCTATAGGGTGTGTGCGCTCTCCAGAAAGACAGAGAGAGACAAAAAGCGAGAAATCACCCCCCAGGGGGGATGGCCACGCTGCAATCCCTTCTTCGTTCTCCTCTCGGGATCTTGGGCATGCACACACGGCGCCCAGCGTGAGTTTAAGCCACTGGTTCTGGGACTCAGACTGCGGTCAACTACATGGGAGTCCAGTGACATAGCCAGTATGCTGATTGCTAGTCCCAATGTCTTTCTTTACTCATTATATCCATAACCAAAAACGCTTCTGCCAAACGTTTCAAACTGTATACTGCTCTACTATTAATATACTGCCCAATCAGGAAAAGGTCAAATGAAGTACCATGTGGATTTTCACTTTAGTATGCTGTAAGTCTCCTTGTCAAAACCCACATTTTTCCCAATAAGGTTTCAAATTATATCAAAGTCTATATTCCTTCTTTCAATCTTAAAAAAAAAAAATAATTCTGGGGGGGCCAGTGGGTGGTATGGTGATTAAGGGCACTGGACTCCCACATGGCCAACCATAGTTCAAGTCCTAGACCTGCCATCTTGCTTTCTCCCTCTCTCTCTGCCCTTCTGGTCAAAATAAGTAAATAAATAAAAAGTTAAATAGTTCTCTGTGTGTTGTCTTTTGTTATGTATTTCAAAACATAAAAACTCCTATTTATGTTTTATTTGCACACAGGTACGGCATGAGTTTCAAGCTACTGGGACAAGGACTCAAACCACGGTCAGCGATGTGGGAGTCCAGAGTAACCATTATGCCATCTGCTGGCCCCCATTTTTCTTCTTTTAAACTAATATCAATGAAATTTGCCTGAAAGAGTTCCCAGGTCACTTTAGAATAGAGAGAATGTACATATTTAAACATGATAGTTTCTCTAGGATCTATTAATTTTGCTACTAGCATAATATTAAAAGAGCCAATAATGTACTTTGATAGTTTTAATTTGTCCCCAGCTCACTTATAGATAAATTATTCAAAGAATAAGAAATTAACAACTTTCCATTTTTAATTACAGAAATAAACCATTTTCTTTTCTTTTCTTTTTTTTTTTTTAAGAGGGGCTTTTTGCTATAGGGCGTGTGCGCTCGCCAGAGACAGAAAGTGAGAAATCACCCCCCCAGGGGGGATGGCCACGCTGCAATCCCTTTTCCTCCATTCTCCCCTTGGGATCTTGGGCGGGCACGCACGCACATGCATCCAGTGTGAGTTTTAAGCCACCGGGTCCGGGACTCAAACCGTGGTTGACTACGTGGGAGTCCAGCGACATAGGCATTACGCTAACTGCTGGTCTCCAACCATTTTTTTATGCACATATTCCCGGTGGATATTTGACTTGCATAGGTTAACTTAGGAAACCTGAAATCTTACTGAGTTGGTCTGCCCATGTAGATGCCTGGTGTAGGTGTATGTGCCCTCTTAGTGATAGAATAATCCACACGAATTCTTCTACCATCCAGTTCCATTCCATTTGCCCTTTCCATAGCCTATAAAGAACAGGGACAGAAAGCCATGTAAGATTTATTTGACTTAAAGTAATAATTAGTTTAAAAGTATCTATAATCCAAAGTAACTTTCCTAATTTTGAAAATGCTATGGCAATGCAGCTAGTACAGGATATTATATAGACATAAAATTTAGACCACAACTTTGTCCAGAATGCATTTTAATTTACTCAATTTAAAAAGTAGTTAACTAACTTTATCACTGAATAATTTTCCAGTTTGGGGTCAGTTCCCATTTCAAGTCAATAAAGCGTGCTTATATGTGCATGTGAGAGAGAAAAGTCTTTTCAAGCTAAACTTTCTATAGGTTGCCCCGGTAGCCTGTCATTTCCTACTTCCTAGTCCCAGCCATTTCACTTTAGTAAAAACAACTACAAAATCTTACACATTTTCCCATTTGAAATTCCCAAACTGAAAGTTCTCTAAACTTCTCTTTCTCAAATAGTTTGAGGCAACAAGTTTACACATTAACCTTCGCTATATTCAGGTCCACAGCCCTAGTTATTTTACTAAAGTACAAACACTTCAGAAAACTACTTCAGAAGGCTTGTGCTGAAAAACTGAGGGCGGGCATACCCTAGGTGGCACAGGTAGTAGGCCCCAACAGCAGAGCTAGAGGCCATATGACTGACCACATGTTCATCAGATCCCAAACTGACCTGAAGACAAGCTGGGCACAGTGCACCAGACTCTAATATACTACAATGCGGTAATGTCAAGGGTACATTCCCTTGTATCTCTCTCTTAAGCTGTCTCTCATGAATTAAAGAAATAAGTTCACAAAAAAGCACAACTCAAACTCAGAGAAGCCTGTGTAATTCTGAAGTTGAAAATAACTAGAGTCAGTCTTTTTTTTTTTTTTTTTTTTTGGAGAGGTTTTCGCTATAGGGCATGTGCCCTCGCCAGACAGACAGAGATAGACATAGAGACAGAAAGCAAGAAATCGCCCCCCAGAGGGGATGGTCACACCGCAATCCCTTCTCCTCTCGGGATCTTGGGCACGCACCCACACGCGCCTGGCGTGAGTTTTAAGCCACCGGGTCTGGGATGCGAACCACGGTTGACTATGTGGGAGTCCAGCGACATAGCCATTATGCTAACTGCTGGTTCCCCACTAGCGTCAGTCTTGACATCTCAAAACAAATTGGAATTCAGCTGATGTATCTAGACTGGACTAGTCAGTCCTTACAACACACTGCCACCTAGTGAACTCCAAGTACAAAGAAAACTAAGTTGGTCAACAAGTACTTCTCTGTCTTTATACTTGAACTCATTGTGCCATGAGACAATACCAATAAATGTGATGCTAATTAACCGCTCTAACAAATGGAAATATTTGAAAGAAATTCTTTAGAACCTAGGTACCACTTCTATTTTTATTATTGTTTAAAAGAATTATTTATTTAATTCCATTTGTTATTATTTTTTAATTTGACCAGAGAGCAAGTGAGAAAGATAAAGAGAAAGCAAGCAGCCAGGTCCGAGATGCAAACCATGGTCAGCCATGTGGGAACCCAGCACCTTTAACCACCATGCCACCTGCTAGCCCCCTATTTTTATTTTTTAATTTGCCAGAGGGCATGTATACTCAGGGAGAAATAGAGCGCGCGAGGGAGAGAGTAAGAGACTGAGAAAGAAAGCATCCCTCAAAGGGGGTGGTCACACCACAATCCTTTCTCCATTTCCTCCTCTTTTCCAAATTTTGAGCAGATGCACCTGGCATGTTTTTCAAGCTGCCAGATATGGAACTCAAAACTGCACAGTAAACCATGTGGGATCCAGCCACCTTAACCACCAAGCCACCAGCTGTCCCACTTTTATTTTATCCAGAAATTAACCAAGAATGGGAAAAAAAGAGACATAGGACAACCAGTTTGACAAAAGAAATTGTTACTGTTCATACTTTCCAATTTTGACTTCAGCCCAGATACTCAGTATTTCTAACTTACATTTTTCTCAAGTGAGAACAAGAATCAGAGAATCACAAACATGCAACAGTTTTAAAACATAGTTGTGAAACTGACATTATAATGCCTATTGCATAAATGGCTTACAAAGTGAAGTATCCTTTTATTACAGTTATAGAGGGTTTCTCAATTCTCCACACTAGCACTTTAAAGCTTGCCGATTCTATGTTGTGGGAGACTACCCTGTCCATTATAGGATGTTTAGTAGTACCCTTAGCTTACACCCACTACATACCATGCCAATAGCAACTATTATTTTTGGAAGGCATGCCAGTTTTTATTACAACTACTTTTTATTGCATTCAGACACTGCTGAAACATAAGAGTGCTGACCTACATGCAACATGAAAAATGGCACACACAAAAATTCCTGGAATACTTCATTATCATTTTTTTCTAGTTTTGCTACAAGGCATGTGTGCTCAATAGAGAGAAGGAGAGGAGGGGAAAGTGAGACTTCATGGCGGGTGGGCGGGGGTTGGGGGAAGCCAAGTCACAATCTTCTATTCTCTTCCATTCCTCTGAGGATTTTGGGTAAGCATGCACACGCACCCTGTGTATTTCTCAGCTACCAGGTCCAGGACTTGAACCTCACAGTTGGCCTTGTGAGATCCAGGTTACCTTAATGTCCGTATCACCTGCCGGCCCAAGTACTCTTCATTTATTAAGGTCTGATAAAACTTTAATGTTGAGCTTCAAAAAACTCTACCATGAACTTTTTATAAAAAGAAAAGGCTTACTGCTGCTTTTTAAATTCAATGCCTCATACATTAGAACAGTATTATTTTAAAGCACTGACATCAATTAGGATCATTTTGTTAGGCAAATAAAGACTAGTGCTACACAAAAAAAGGTGGGCCAGCAGGTGGTGCTGTGGTTAAGGTGCTGGAATCCCACATGGACAAAGGCAGCTGGAGTCCTGAAGACTGGGGACTTAAAAATCATATGGGACAGTATATGTTCAAATTCCCAGGAGACTGGAGGAAAAGGGATTATGTGTGGTCTGTGACTGCCCCTATCTCTCTGTTAAGCACACATGCCCTAAAAAAGGAAGAAGAATCAGTACCTTACAGTATTACTTTTCAATTATGGAACAGGATAAATGAGATAAATGATTATGAAAAGTCTGAATCTATTGTATATGAGGGAACTAATTAAGACGTGACATTACATAGGTTGAGTCTAAACATAATTTTTTCCTGAAAGACAAGGTCAGGCACCATGTTGTGATCCTCCCTTCCTCAGCTTCCTGTCTGGAGTCACAAGGCACACACACCACTAAACTCACCTCTTCTTTAGCAAGGTTCTCATGATATTTTGCGTAGGCCAATCTTGACCTCATTACATCTTCCTGCCCCATCTCCCCCAAACTGCTGGATTACAGAGACATGCCACTGGGCCTTCTTTTTAGTCCCAGCCAGGAAGGCTTAGATGTTCAGCAGCAGTAAGTTCCATTGAGGCTGAGCCAATATAATTAATTTTTTTTGAGAGGTTTTCACTATAGGGCGCATGTGCTCGCCAGAAAGACAGAGACAGAAAACGAGAAATCACCCCCCAAGGAGGTATGGCCATGGCACAATCCATTCTCCTCTCAAGATCCTGGGCATGCATGCACACATGCCTGGCGTGAGTTTAAGCCGTTGGGTCCGGGACGTGAACCATGGCTGACTACGTGAGAGTCCAGTGACATAACCATTACACACACCATCTGCTGGTCCCCACATTATTCATTTTTAAAAATCATTTTATTCATCTGTTTGGCGCCTCAGTATGGGTTATTCAATATGGAACACTTATACCCTATAGTTTTCTCATTAAGTCAAAACACATTTATTTCTCATTCTACAAGACCAGATCTCAATCAGGATATACCTGTACCAGAAAACATAAGCTCTAAAGTTAAACTGTGGCCACTCTAATTGGGAACATAAAGAGGTAGAATTTGAATCAAGTCAGAACCAAAGGTGATATAATACCTACGGAAATCAAAGTCTATTGCTCAACTTTTAACAGTCATTCAATATGTAATCAGGCATATGAAAAAACCTTTCAAACTGAAAATTACAAAGTCCAACTTACCTCCTTTGAGTCATCTATTCTCTCGAAATACACAAAAGCAAATCCTCGTGATCGTCCAGTACGTTGATCATAAACCACATTAACACCACTCAACGGTCCATAGCGAGAAAATACTTCACGAAGATCTCTCTCTGTTGTGTACAAACTGAGGCCAAATACTCCAAGACAAGTATTGGGATCCGGATTTGCCTATTTAACAAATTATCATAAAAAAATAATCTGAATCTACTGATTCCAGTCATTTGGAAGTAAGATTTAATTGCCAGAGGGTACAGGCGCTCACAAGAAAGAAAGTACTCCCCAGTGGTATGTGGTCATACTATAGTTCTTTCCCTCTATTTCTTCATCGCATTCGATTCTTAGGCATGCACGCACACCTATTGTGTTTTTCAAGTTGCCTGGGGGCAGGATTCAAACTATAGTTGGCCATGTGGGATCTGGATCAAACCAACAGACTACAGGACTAGCCCTAAAAATAAGATCTTAATAGGACTAAAGCAGTTGAGTCATATTTTATAGTTCATAGTACTTTTTTTTTTTAATTTTTAAAGAGAGAGTTTTGCTATAGGGTGTATGTACTCACCAGAGACAGACAGAAAGTAGGAAACTGCCGCGCGCCCCCCCCCCCATCCCTGGGGGTATGGCCTCGCCACAATCCCCTCTCCTCCATTCTATGCCTGGGATTTTTAGACGCCTGTGCACATGCGCCTCGTATGAGTTTTTATTTTAATTAAGGATGTATTTATTTTCAATTTTATTTCTTCTTCTTCTTCTTCAATGCAGACAATAGAGAAACAGACAGAGAGAAAGGGAGAGTGAGAAAGGAAGCTGCCAGGTCCAGGACTTGAACCATGGTTGGCCATGTGGGAGCCCAGCGCCTCAGCCACCACACCACCTGCCGGCTCTGCACCCAGCAGAAGTTTTAAGCCACCAGGTCCAGGACTTGAATCATAGTTGACTACATGGTAGTCCAGCAATGTAATCATTACACCATCTGCTGGTCCCAGTTCATAGTACTAAGTCTTCTTTGGAGTAGATTTTCTAGTTATAGCCTGAATAAATATGTTTCCATGTCTAACGAAATGTATTTTAAGAATTCATCCTAATATTGTCTTCTAATTTATTCAAAACTTTACATTCCTTATAGATTAGTGCTGAATCTGACTTCATCTTCATCTCTAACTACTGATTTTAAGAATCAAATAGCTTGGCTTAAACCTGGTTCTGCCAATTAGCCAAAAACAGAGACACCGTCATACTCATATGACGGTGTCATATGTCATACTCAATGTCATACTCAACATGATTATCAGGCTTACAGAGATGTTAAGAAAATTGGGAACCAGCAGTTAGCGTAATGGCTATATCGCTGGATTCCCGCGGTTCGCGTCCCGGACCCCGTGGCTTAGAACTCACGCTGGGCGCATGTGTGTGTGTGCCCAAGATCCCGAGAGGAGAATGGAGGAGAAGGGATTGCAGCATGACCATCCACCCAGGGGGTGATTTCTCACTTTCTGTCTCTCTGTCTCTCTGTCTGTCTGGCGAGCGCACACGCCCTACAGCAAAAACCTCTCAAAAAAAAAAAAAAAAAGAGAGATGTTAAGAGAATTAAATGAATTGAATAAAAGTGTCACCTATTATTAATACAGTTGGTTGTATTTTCTTGCTTCCCTCCCATACCTAGATGGTAAACATTTTGTATTTCAATATTTTCACTTTATGCTTCTCACTTAAAGTCCTGGAACACATTTCTTCCTAAATTTCATCTCTTTAACTATTCAAAAGTCAAGAAAATACATTGCCCTTTGTTGTAGCTGTAAGCTACTATAATGGCTGCATTGTCTTTTATTAGTCTATCTGTGACACAAAAGGTTTTTTTCTCTTTATCTTTAAAGCTAATGCAGCTTGTCAGTATGTGCCTAGGGTATTACTACCAAACAATGACCTTGCTCTGACAAAATCAAGATATTATGCCAGGACTAAATAAAACTCGAAGAGAAAAACAGGTTTTCATTATTTTGTATAAACCACATACCCTGCTGCCTGTATGTCTTCTGCGGTTAGACATTGGAGAATGACTTCGGCTCCTTCGCCGCCGGTATTCTGGTGTATATGACCTACTTCGAGATCGTCTCCTGTGTGAGTGAGATCTGGACCGAGTGTAGCGTCTATGAGAATGCCTCCTTGACCTCGACCTTTGAGAAAAATTAATTTATTATGTGAAAATCCTGGGGAAAAAAATGGCTAACACCCATACGGCTGCCATGTATACATATGCCCCCGCTAAGAATAGCTCAGCAACTCCTCCTTCCCAAGGAAAGGCTATTTTTGTCCTGTTAAATCACTACAATCTCTTCCTTGTTCTCAGTCTATCTCTTATACACTCACCCCTTCATCTTATTTAAAAAATACCAAAGCTCCAAACTAATCTTTTTATCCCACCACAGTACACTTGGGGTAAACTTCAGACCAGCTTACTAGAGAAGATTTTGTATAGTTGCCAGTAGTGACGGTGAATTACATGATGATCTATCTCCTCCTCTAATTACACCTGACCAGAGCTCTACCTGCACAGTCAGTATCTTCAGGTAAAAGATGTAGCAGAAGTATGAATCTTTTTTTTTCCCAAAGAATTATTTCATCATTATAATTTATTTTGCTTTGCTAGAGGACACATGTGCTCACCAGAGGAAAAAGACAAAGAGAGAGAGAGAGAGAAAGAGAGAGAGAAAAGGCCACCAAGTCTAAGACTCAAACCATGGTTAGCCATGTGAGAGTCCAGAGCCCTAATCACTACATCACCTGCTGGCCCCCAGAAATATGAATCTTAAAAAAAAGTTTCTCAAATCATTCTGAAAATAAGAACAACACACAAATTATCTTTCTATTTTACAAACATTATTGGCATACAACTAAACACTAGGACTAGTGTAGTGCCGCTGGCAGTAGCATGCCACTGTGTCCTACTGAAGCATTTGGGAAGGCCCCTGGTTCTGATCCTAGACTGACATAACCTACTGGGTGTGACCACAAGCCTCAGGAATAGGAGATCACAGTATGTTGAACTATGGTGCCTATCCCTGGCTGTCTCTCTAAGAAAGCAAACAAGAAAGAAAGAAACAAACAAAACTCCAGGGACCAGCAGTTAGTGTAATGGCTATGTCGCTGGACTCCCACGTAGTCGACCACGGTTCGCGCTCCGGAAGCTTAAACTCACACTGGGCGTTTGTGCGTGCGTGCCCAAGATCCCAGGAGGAGAATAGAGGAGAAGGGATTGCAGTGTGGCAATCCCCCCTGGGGGGTGATTTCTCGCTTTCTGTCTCTCTCTCTCTCCCTGTCTGTCTGGCAAGCGCACACGCCCTATAGCAAAAAACAAAACAAAACAAAACACAAAAACAAAACTCTCAAAAACAAAACAAAAAAACAAACAAAATTCCAGGACCAGCAGATGGTATAGGGCTGGACTCTCACATGGCTGACCATGGTTCGAGTCCCAGACCCAGAAACCTGAAACTCAGGCCAGGCACATGTGCATGCATGCCCAAGTTTTAAGAGAATGGAGAAGGGATAGTGGCATGATCATCCCTCTGGGGGGTGATTTCTCACTTTCTCTCTCGCTGTCTCTCTCCAGTGAGTGCATGTGCCCTAAGGCAAAAGCCTCTTAAAAAAAAAAACACACACACACACACACACACACAAAAAAAACAAAGAACAAACAAACAAAATCTACCGCCAATTTTAAATGCCAAGCACATTTAAACCAATTGGCATATACTGGTATTGATAACTAGTATACAAAAGATAAACTAGATCAAGATATGACTCTTAGCAGTCTAAGCCTTCATTTAGAATAATACAGCATTAGTTTCTCTTTTAAAAAAGTAAGGTTTTTTCCTTAATTTTCATTTATTTTAATTTTACCAAAGGGGAAGAGAGAGATAGAGAGAGAGGGAGAGAAAAAGTGAGAAAACAAGCCACCAGATGTGGGACTCGAACTGCAGTCACCCATGTGGGAGTCCAGTGACCTTAACCACCATGTCACCTGTTGGCCCCCTAGAATAATACAGTATTAGTTTCTAAAACTAATTCACAATTTTGAGTCTTTGGTGAAATTTCTACACAAAATACAGCCAAAAATGCCTGGAAAGGTAAGATTTAAAAAGTTTTAAAATGAGGGAAGGGACCAGGGCTCAGTTGTGCAGTGGTAAAATGCTGCTCTCATGAAGCTGGATTCATATGGAAGATCAGGGATTTCACTATCTGACTGAACTACACAAACCAAGCATCTATGCCACCAAGACCTTGTCTAGCTGGGAAAATTGGAGGGGATGGTAACATAAGACACTGTAGAGGGTATATGTCTGTCTTCTCTCCCTGTCTCAAGTTTGTAAAAGAACCTAATTTTTTTTTAACCCAAGGAAAGCATTTTAAGTATTATTTTAAGTACACTTACCTGGATTTTGACCTTGATCGAGAATGGGATTCAGAGTGTTTGGAAACCCTTGATGGACTACGAGATCCTGACCTGCTCTCCGATTTTACACGAGCAGGAGTTCCCGTTGGAGATTTTGACTGAGAGCGAGACTCCTAACAAAGAAGACAGTATTACAAATGGCACTGGTCATGTAGATGCCTAACACCTAACATTTAAAGTACCGTAATTATTTATATTGATTGCTCCTGAAAAACAAATGGTTAGGCAACACCCTCCAGAAAAAAATTTCAGCTCATTTATAACCCATTGTTAATACTGCTAACTGTCCTCAATAATTCCCTACTTGAACCAGATCACCAATTCTCTATTAACTAAGTAATCATGCAAATTCATCTACAACTTGATCATACAGACACTGGAACATAAACCATACATTTACTTAACCTAGGACCCATTCATTCTTCCAGATTCTTTTAATTCTACTTCACTCTTGCTTTCTACTTCTCTTCATTCTTCATTGAGTTTTTCATTTTTCATACTTCGTGTATTCTTCCCCAATTCAAACAATTCAAAATAGCCTTAAAAAAATATTCAAGTGCTTCTATCTGACCAATCTTCTGTTCAATTTTTTCCCCCATTCAATTTTAATTTTCTGATCTTTAATACTTTTCATTAGCCTTCTTTTATCTTGATTTATCTTCCACATTCTTGGAAAAAACTCTTCAATTTCTTCACGAACATTAACCTTAATGGAAAAAGAACATTTAGTATATTTAAGCACGTGGGGATTATAAAACTCTGCTGGAGTTCAGAATGTTATCTACCAAATGGAAAAACCAGCAGGTAAAGTGCAAATAACTAATTAAAAAAAAAAAAAAACAATTGTATAGTTTTTTTATATTGTTCAAAAGTCTAGATTCTAACAAGAATTTACTGAATTTCTCTGAATTTTTTAACCATACTCTTCACCCTCCTCCCCTTTCATATTTCATTCTAGTTCCTAAAATGTGAACGATTTTAATATAAAATAGTTAATTCAAACATAAATCTATCGTTAACTGTAATTGTTCCCCCATCTGAATGTTAAATTTCCACTGTTTTATAACCTGCAGAACACTAGTGATCTTAAAATAAGTTTTCAATAAGCCATGGTAGGAAATTGATAATGCTTAAGCAAAGTATCCCAGACTGAATAGTTTTACATACCTATCTAAACTCATGCTAAATAGCACAAATGCCAAATTTCAAAGTAAAATTACAATTCCTAATTTTGTTTGACCACCATATTTGCTCATTCTGACATAACCAGAAAGATATGTTCTTAAAACAATAACAACAATTAAAAAAAACCAAGGGGGAGGGGAAACATGAAATTTTTTAGAGTTCCCCTTTGGCTTATAAACTACAAAATTAAGTAATTTTGCAAATTCCACTTCAAAATGATAATAGTATCCACAAAATGTAAAGTTAACAAGAAGTTAAAATTTTTTTATCACAGCCGTCACCTCTGATCCTATCTCCTCCTCTATTTATAGCTTTTACATATTTTATGCATCATATACTTGTACTTCTTTCACTGACTACACCCTGTATCAGAAAACTGCTTGCTTTCTGAGAAAGCTGAATGCAAATCAAAACTTTCTCAATACAATGATGATTTGTTACAGATTTGAAACTTGCTTTTTAATTTGACAAATATGAGGCAATTACGACCAAAATAGGATGAACAATCTGCGTTACTCTGTCAATTTAAGCCTTGATTATTAGTGTAAATAATTTTGTTAATTTCACGAAATAATTTCAATTTATTTATGCCATAAGACTATCACACACCTTTCCTTAAACAGCTTCCTTAAAGCCTTTTCTTTACTTCAAGCTTAATGTTAAGACATTTATCAACTGTACTAATTGTAGAAAAAAATTTTTCCATATGAAAACAGACTAAAATGTACAACTACCTTTCTATTCAACACCAATGTTTCCCATTTAGCTATCTACCATAAATTTCTCCCCGCATCTCTTATATTCTCTAAAATCCTGGACAGATGCCTGGAGCAAGCACCGTAACTTTGGCCTTTTCAAGCATCAAAATTGTAAAAACAGTTTTTTATTGTTTAGTACTTTAAAAGTATGGCAAATTTGCTTGTAATTTAAGTTATACAGGTTGGTTCATGAAATTGTTAAGAGTATCTTCCATCTCTCTTTTGGCTTTCCCTTCTATAAAAGAGACCCTATGGCATAACATTCATTTATGTTACTGTTGAATAGCAGTAGTTGGCTATGAACATTACCACAGCCCTTATTAGGCACATAGATAAGAAGGCTTTCATTCCTCTGTAAGATGTGGTAAACTTTTCATTTTACAAAGACAGAAATAAAAATATTGTACGACCCAAAATTTACTCTTAATACAGTTTACTTGAAGCTTCTTAGTAAAATGACAAAAATTATTATGATCCAAGTATGTGTATTTTTGGTTTTCTAGTCCTTCCTCATAACCGTATGTCTGATAGCTGTTCAAAGTACCACTTTTCAGGAATTATTATCAACAAGGTAACTCAATAACACCTTAGAATTTTAAGTCCCAGTTTGGGAGTAGCAACAAAAATATTAAGGTATGACAGAATGTCTTTTTTAAAAAAGACATCAGCATTATTTTAAAGAAGTTTGTTTTTATTATCAAAAGTGCCACAAACACATAACTTCCTTTATGTTCTGACCCTTTCTCTTTTTATCTCAAAGATAAATCTATATAAATTTCTTCATGGAGTCATCCATGATTAAAAAACAGTCCTCTCACCTATACCTCTTATTTACAATAATTTAACTTCCAAAACCAATTTAGAATCTTATCTAAAAGGATAAATCAACAACGATCAGTAAGCCTAACCAAAAAGATAAACCAAGTACAAAATAAAGTTAGTTCTTCAGAACCACTTTTACTATAATACCCAAAAAAAGCCCCAAATGTCACATTATTATTTACCATTATAAAGTAACTTATTTCTCAAAAACTGTTACCAAATATCATTTTCACTAAACTCTGCATTAGACATCAAGCTACAACAGGTTCTTTAAAAAAAAAAAAAATTATTTAACCTTATTTATTTGTTTAATTTTGACCAGAGAGGGACAGGAAGCAAGAGAGCGAGAGCATGAGTCAAAAAGCAAGCCACCAGGTCCGGAACTCAAACTGTGGTCAGCCATGTGGGAGTTCAGCACACTTAAACACCACATCACCTGCCGGCCCCATGAGAGGTTCTTTATGGAGGACAATCCTTTTCTATTTTTGACTTGTCTCCATTCTAAATACTAGTTTTCACCTTTTCCAAAGAAATTCTTAAAGCTATTCAAATTTTAGAAGCTGAACTGAAACTGCAAACAGAAAAGAAAAAAAAAAAATAAAAAACTGAACACTGGGAAGAAGTGGTATCTAACCTGTTTTTTTTTTTTTTCCTAACCTGTTTTTAAAGTTGTCTAACCAAGGAAAATTACTAATTCCTCAGTAATTTGGCTCCTGAAGCCATTAAAAAATGTTGCTAAGTTGATATGGGAATATCAGTGGTTCAATCAACTCATATGTGTTTGTTTTTAAATATTCTTTATTAAGATTTCTCTGTGTTTGAAGGACATAGCCAAAAGTAGGAAGAATTAAGAAAGTAGTATGAAACATAAGAATCATCCTTCTGTGTTAAAATACAGTTGTATTTTATACACTGTAAATAAACACAATAACCATGTACATTGTTTTTAATCAAGAAAAACGTTATTAAATATATGCCCACATTTGCTGCAAAAAATGAACTCAATTCCTTTAGCAAACAATAACTGCAGTCTCTAATTACAGTCTATATCGTATTGTAGATGGAAAAAATTCCAACACAATATATACTAATACAAATGCTACAATGTAATCTATTCCAATGTTAAGGTCAAATAAATTCTATGCCAGATAATAGTGCTAAATTTACACAAACTCAACTTCATAGACTACAGTATAAACTTGTAAAACAAACCTCAAAATATATTTTCCTACTACTTTATGAAATTGGAGCTCTTCTTGCAGACTAGTGCATTTACTTAAATTAATGTTCCACAAGGCATACAGGTGGGGTATAGTGATGTACTTTAATGACCTAAATACCAAACTAATATTTTTTTAAATTTTTAAAGAATTATTTTATTTAGCTTTATTTATTTATTTATTTATTTATTTAACCAGAGAGGGACAGAGTGAGCGGGAAAGAGAGAGAAAGTGAGAAAGAAAGCTACCAGGTCCAGGACTTGAACCATGGTCAGTCATGTGGGAGTCCAACGCCCTTAACCACCACGCCACCTGCCGGCCCCCACAAACGAATATTTTAAGAACTTCATTCTACAGGTCTTGTAGGAAAACTTGTATTTATTCAATTCTTTTATTTCAGTCTACAGCACTTAACAGTTCTGCCTCCTTTTTCTTGGGTAAGACAAGTTACTTCTTTGGCTGGTTAAAAACCAGAGCGGCCACTTCCAGTCTCTTTTTAAATATCCACTGCTATTAGAGCAATCCTTTGAGAAAATTCCTGGTTGTGTGCAAACTTAACCACCAGTCCTGCATGATGAGGCAGAACCGAAGGGAACAAAAGGTTTGATGAAGTAATTTTGGTGACAGAGATCGATTAGCCACTGAGGTGGCCCATTCTATCTAATACAGTGTAAAAGCAAAAGTGCTCCTAATTTTAAATAACTTCCTTTTTTTTTTTTTTGGAGAGGTTTTTGCTATAGGGCACTTGCGCTCGCCAGAAAGACAGAGATAGACAGACAGACAGAAAGTGAGAAATCAACCCCCAGGGGGGATGGCCACGACGCAATCAGTTCTCCACTCTCGGGATCTTGGGCACGCACACACGTGCTGGGCGTGAGTTTAAGCCGCTGGGTCCGGGACTCGAATCGCGGTCGCCTACGTGGGAGCCCAGTGACATAGCCATTACATAGCCATTACGTTAACTGCTGGTCCCAATAACTTCCCTTCTTTTAAGGTCAATTATCTGTATGCTGCATTTTAAATGAGGTTAATGTGGTCTCCATCTGCAAAGTCTTATATATATTCCTAATATTGTTAACTCTACATTCCGTAAAGTTTGGAATAATTTTGGCAACTTTTTAATCACAAAAGACTTAACTTTTAACTTTTTTTAAAGAGTTATTTTTTATTTAACTTTATTTATTCATTTGAATTTGACCAAATAGGGACAGAGAGAGCAAGAGGGGAAACTGAGAAAGCAAGCCAGTGGTTGGCCATGTGGGAGTTCAGCACTCTTAACCACTACACCACTGCTGGCCCCCAAAAGACTTAACTTTTATCATGAAGTAACTGACCCTTAAATATTGCATTCAAATTTAAACTCACTCAACCGTTCTTAAATTACCTGTCAAATATATAATATTTTGTACAAACTATAAATGTGGCTCATGAACTTGCCAACTTACACTCATGATTACTTGTAATATCAAAAGTGTGTATAAAGAGACCATCTCAATAGTAAACACGTTTCTAAGGATTTAAGTAGCTTAACGATAGTAAATCTAATAAATAGCAACTAAAACCAAACTAAGAAACTGTTACAGTAATCTTTACTTGTTTTTTTTTTTTTTGGGGGGGGGGGTTCGCTATAGGGCGCGTGCGCTCGAGAGACAGAGAGACAGAGAGACAGAAAGCAAGAAATCACCCCCCAGAGGGGATGGTCACGCCACAATCCCTTCTCCATTCTCCTCTCGGGATCTTGGGCACGCACACGCGCCCAGCGTGAGTTTAAGCTACCGGGACACAAACCGCGGTCGACTACATGGGAGTCCAGCGACATAGCCATTACGCTAACTGCTGGTTCCCTTTACTTGTATTTTCATCTTGGTATCAGAGCATAAATCTGAATAAGTCAAATGACAGACCGTGGTTTCAAGAAAAAAAAAAAATCCTATTTTTCTTCCTCAAATCTGTAAGGCTGAGTCATACATAATACTGCTGGTAAAAATCATGGGACAGTAAGGATTATACAACCACATAGGGTAGCAACCTGAAAGAGAAGGAGAACCACATTTCTTTTCCTTGTTCTTCTCTCAATTTTTCTACAGAAGTTTACAATGTTTTCCTCATGTGATTCATTACCATTTTCTCCCTTTCCATTTATTCACTTAACATGTGAATACACACCTTTTACTAGTGTTAATTATTTGATGCCTGAGTACCCAGTATTATTACTGAAGTGTGTCAAGCAAGTTTTAGAAAACTACTATGATGCTTGTTCATGCCACATAACACCTGATATACTTTAGATGTTACACCACAGATTTACAAAAGAAAGGCTATACACAATGTTTGTCAGTTTTCTAAATGACTCACATCTAGTTTACTACATTCCTTGACTTTCTTTCAATTCTCAAGGCTCTTTATTTTTTGGGGAATAGTATACAACACATAAGCATCACTTGTTAAAATGCGGTTATGCGAGGGAACCAACAGTTAGCGTAATGGCTATGTCGCTGGACTCCCACGTAGTCGACCGCGGTTCGTGTCCCGGACCCGGTGGCTTAAAACTCACGCTGGGCGCGTGTGCGTGCGTGCCCAAGATCCCGAGAGGAGAATGGAGGAGAAGGGATTGCGGCGTGACCATCCCCCCTGGGGGGTGATTTCTCGCTTTCTGTCTCTATGTCTGTCTCTGTCTGTCTGGTGAGCGCACACGCCCTACAGTGAAAACCTCTCAAAAAAAAAAAAATGCGGTTATGCGAGACCAACAGACCATAGCAGTTACATTACTGGACTCCCACCTGGCCAACCATGGTTTGATTCACAGACCCAATGGCTTCAAAACCGCACTGGGTACCTGGTGTGCATGCCCAACATCTGGGATGGTGGTGGGGAATAGAGAGGGGATTGAGGTATGGTCATCCCTCACGGAGGATGATTTCTCCCTTTCCTCTGTCTCTGTCTCTAGCAAGCACACAGCCTTAAGACAAAAATCTCTTTAAAATATGTGGTTATGCTCTGCGGGTATAATTACTCCATTTCAAAACCCTGCATTCTACCTGCATGGAGCAAATTTGTACACTTCAGTGAAAGAATCTCAAATATAAAAATTAGAGCTTTAAGATGTTCCCTTAAGTTTCCAAATTCTCTGCTTAAATTGAGAGGAATAAAAAGGCATTAAAATTGAATAAATGATAGCACTGAACTTTAGAAAAATAAACTCAATACAAATAAGACCAACAGGTTTAATACTATCCCTAGTATAAGAAAGGAAGGCTTATTTTTTTCTTCTAACAGGTTGATTTTCTGAGATATATGAAGTTAAAAACTGTTGAAGCTATACTAAATCTTTTGTTGTTTTTGCTATATGGTGGCCATGTACTCACCAGAGACATAGAGAAAGAGGGAAAGTGAGAAATCACTACCCAAGGATAATGGCCACAACACAATCTCTTCTCCTCCAGTTTCCTCTCCAGATTTTGCACACCTGCCCAGTGTATGTTTCAAGTCCAGGGTCCAGGACCAGGCAGTCAGCTAAGTAGCATCCAGTGTCTAAATTTCCATGCCACCTGCTGGCCCCTTAACTAAGTCTTTTTTGAAGCTAAACAATTATGACATCCCTCATATTTTTAGTTATAAAACTCCATAAACAATTAAACCCAGCTCAATCAAGATGACTTCTCAATGAGCCTAGTCATTAACCTTACCATTAACAAATCAGGATTCAAAGAAAAAAAGTTCCCCCACCATTTCTTCCTCTTTTTAAAACAATTTTCACATGCAAAATCTTAAATTCCAAATTAATACAAATTATGTTTTGCTCTTCAATCTCATCATCCAATAGTCTCATATATTAGTGGGAACTCTACGAGTCTCAAGAAGCCAAAACAACCACTAAAAAGTAGGCAATAGCAATACTTTCCTTCTTCACTTGCATACACAGCAAAGCATATCATAAACTGCAGAATTATAAGATGGACCTCTAAACAATACAAAGTCATTAACCTCTACAATAAACATGAGTGCATTATATAAGGGAAAATCTGCACTCAACATTTTTAGTTTAAAAATAATGAGGGGTACTGGGAAAATAAAATTGAGTGAAATGACAAGAAAAGTTTAATTTCTATTCTCTGTAATACTATAAAATATACAGAATATAAAACTTAATTTTAGTTGAAGCTGCTTGACACAAACAACTTATTACTTTACTGCGGAGGTAACATGTTAAGCCATATGAAATTCAAATGCCAAGCTTACTCCCAGTTCCAAAGGGCCATTTCCACTTCAAACGTTTAACCTGATGTACAGGTCCTAAACAAAATTATTTATTTATTTATTTATTTATTTATTTTAAAGGTTTCTGCCATAGGGATGTTCACTCACCAGAAAGAGAGAGAGAGAGAGAAAGTGAGACATCATCCCCAGGAGGGATGGCTACTCCATAGTCCTGTCTCCATTCTCATCTAGAGATTTTGGGCACATTCCAAGCAATACAACAGCACACCTGGCTTGAGTTTCAAGCAGGATCCAGGAATCAAACACGTAGGCCATGTGGAAATCCAGTACCCTAACGATAACACCCACTGGCCCAGGACATATTTTTTTCCTTCTTTTTGGGAGAGGTTTTTGCTATAGGGCACGTGCGCTTGCCAGACAGACACAGACAGAAAGCAAGAAATCACCCTCCAGGGGGGATGGCCACACGGCAATCCCTTCTCCTCCATTCTCCTATTGGGATCTTGGGCGGGCACGCACGCACACGCGCCCGGAATGAGTTTCAAGCCACTGGGTCCGGGACTCAAACTGCAGTCACGACATGGGAGTCCAGCAACATAGCCATTACGCTAACTGCTGGTCCCGGGACCTATTTTTTTTTAAATGGCCTCATTATTTCCCTTCAGTCTTTCCATCCCACTACTGTCCTGTTTAGTTCAACTCTTAATAAATAATTCTTTCCTTAAATATTTCAAGTGTTTCTAGCTGCTCCTCCTATAACAGTCTCTTTATTCTTTCTTAAAATTCTTTTCATTATGTTCTTTCCAGAATTAAAAATTAATAGATGGCTCCTTACTACATATTAAGTCCAAATTCCTAAATCTAGAATTCAAAAGTCTACATTACCTGACGGTATATTTAGTCAAATCTATCCCACAATGTTCCAGCACAATCTCTTCACTATCACATTAACGAACCACTTCATTAACCTCATCAAAAGATCTAGTGAAAACTTTACACTTCAGATAAACCTTTCCCTTCCCCTATCTTACAAAACTGCCCAACTCCAGTTTCTGAATTCCTTATTCTATCACACTGCACTTGACGATACACTTTTAACCACAGTTGAACTGTCAGTTATATTAAATTAGACTCAAAGTTCTCTTTCTCTCAAGAACACCTAGCTTAGCCCTTACTAAAAAAGCAGCATTTGCTCTACCAAGCAGCTCTGCCTTGGGTTACTTACAACAGAATTCAGGCAAATATACTTTTTCCTTTTTTTTAAAAGAATTATTTTATTTAGTTTTATTTATTGTCATTATTTTACTTATTTTTTTATCTTATTGAGGTTGACGAGAGAGAGAGAGAGAGAGAGAACGAGAGAGAGAGAGAGAGAGAGAAGAAAAGTGAGAAAGAAAGCTGCCAGGTCCAGGACTCAAACCACGGTCAGTCATGTGGAAGTCCAGTGGCCTTGGGCACCAGGCCACCTGCCAAACCCTACACTTTCCTTCTTAAAGTTTCTTCACTATTGTCCTTTAAAGTGAAGAAATATTAATCTATAATGGAAAAGTAAGCTTCTGTAACTGCTTTTAGCAAACTCCATTAATGGTCCTGGGACACAAAAGTATACTGTGTCCTTTTTGGGGGGAAAAAAGGTAAATTAAATATAAACAGCATAGTGTGTGTATGCAATGAAGATTTCTGGCTGTGCCATCAGTTTTTAATTCCTAAAATGTTAACATTACTTCAGCTCTTTGAAGATTATCATGAGCAGTATATGTGAAAATATATCTAAGATTTTGGAGGTGGTAGATTTAAAAAATGCTCTGGTATTGTCTATACTAGTAGTATTAATCCTATTTCTTTAGTATGTTCAGTAGACTCTAGAAAGTTATCCACTAATACCCTCCAATACTAAGCATCTTTTTAGTAAGATGAGGTTAGTATGTCACCTATTTATATTGTAGATGAAGTAGGTGAACTCGCACTTTTAAAAGAAAACATTCTTCTCACTAAGAATTAATATAGAAGGGAAACACTGATTAATTGAAAAACTAGATTCATAATCTTCACAAAGGCATCTAATAATGTTAACAACTGAATATTAGTTGTTAACCTGCCAATGCTCTCCTTTAGTATTAATTGAAACACAACTGCTTAACCATCTTGACACATCAGAAAATCCTTTAACTGGTTTGTGGTCGGTAGATAAAAAGGTCACTGTAAATTATACCAAAAACAACAATGAAATTAAAAAGCTTTAAGAAAATTTTTAAAAAGTACACTTCTAGAAAAGCTTCTAGCAGTCCACTAATGCTTTAACCACTTAAAAATTTACACGTGGGTACCACTTGGGAAAAAAATATTTCCTATGACCACAAATGGCCAAAAGAGGGAGACGAAAAAGGTAAAATATTTTTTCTCCTAAATAAATTGTTACGGGTGACAATTATCTATTAATAGACTTACTCCTTTCCTTAGTTTAAAAATATCAACTAAAGGAATCAGAGGCCCACCAGCAGTCCTTTTCACTTCCCCACAAACCAAAATAAGACAAACATTATTAACAAAAAGCTCGTAAGTTAATCAAAAGAAAGATACAAGGACATCGAAAAGTCTTCCCACTAACAACCTAACAATTCAAAAAAAGGAAGTTGTTTACAACTACCACCAAATATTTTTATGGGTGATTTTACAAGTTTTGTTAGGACAATCACACCACTCCAAAAAAGGAACAGGTTTAATCATTCACTTATATCCATGCTCCGAATTAAAAAAAAAAAAAAAAGCCAATCTTAAATTTATTTCTTCAAATTCCTTTCCTCAAAAAGAACAGAAGCCTAAAATCAACCTTATGATTTGACTGGTCTCAGGGGTTTATATTCTGAACTTCCAAAACGGACAAAATGCATTCCTCCAGTACGTACCTCAAATGTTTTCCCTAGTGACTGGAATAAATACCAACACAACAATCGGAACATGTTGCCTGGGGCTTTTGTTTCCTTTTCAGGGCTTCACACTCCCACCAATTTAGACTACCAGAATAACTTCGGAAACATAAGTCAAATACTTTAGTACAATTAAGTTGGGGATAACGTATTCCTTGTGTTGTTTCTACCTACCCAACCCCAAGTAAGAAAAACCCTCTGAGCCCTCTTTGCTAGAATAATGGGGTTTCGAGAAGAGAAAGGGGAGAGGGCCTGTAAATTTCGGGTAACCTTTGGAGTTAACAGTATAAACTGCCTTTAAAAATAATAAGCCACGAAATTCCTCCAGTTACGTAAGACTAAAAAAAAGACAGAAGATTCTTTAAAAAAAAAAAAAACGGAAAACCTGTAAAGGAGTGATCAGTTTTTAGATGAAAGGACATAGGAAGAAAAGCATCAGAAGCTGAGTTATAAAGAAAAAAAACCCAACATCAAAGAATTTGAAAAATAAGGCGTTATAGCATTTCCATATTCATTTTGAAGTGAAAGGAAAGCAGAAGGACATTAAGGGAAAAAGAATTCCTCGCGTAGTGTTCCCCTCACAGCTCTCGTCTTAAGAACGCTTAAGGGTCGGTGCGGTCGTTGACTAACCACTTCATTAGGCTCGTCCCACCTTCAACCTCAAGGCTTTTTCGCCTTTATAGACGCAACGCCGCCGGTTCCAACAGAGACGCGGCCGCTCACTGCAATAGAGAGCCAAGGAGACACAGGCCCCAGCTAGTCCCACGCCAGCTTCTCCCCGCCCAGACAACTGCCCCGCGCCACTCTCAACCCCGAGACCCTTTACGAAGCTCGGGGTCGCCTGAAATGCTGCCGCGGGAATCACCTACCACTACCTGGCCGGAGGGGAACTCCCTGCGATCTCCTCCCGCCCCAGTTCGACGAGGACCCACACCTCGTCACAGAGATAAGGAAGTTTCGGAGGTGGGGAGAATGGAGGGAGCATTGTGAGGAGGAGGGTCCAGGACCCAGGAGACCAAGTATGCGCCAGTCTCCAAAAACAGGGAGAGGGGTATATCCATGGTGTTTTGAGTTAGGAGTGGAATCCAGAAGCCATCTTGGGATGTGAGGAAGCAATTGCGATGGCTCCAGAGGTTGCTCCCCGCAGGGCCCTCGCTGGACTCCCCGTAACCCCTGCCCGACCGCGCTTGTCCCCGAGAAACCCCGAGTCGGGCCGCCGCCGAAGACGGCTCCCGCGGCTTTGTACTCACTCTGCCCTCGAAGTTGTTCTCCTCTACATCACTCATGACGGCCAGACGCTCCCAGAACTAAACAAGAGACAAGTCTCGGCTCGAGGGCCGATGGCCTAACCAACCCGCTGACTGGACCGCGGGGAGAAGAGAGTCGGCAACAACAGCCAGTCCACTCCACTCCCACTCGGTCGCAGGCTCCGGCAAAATGGCGCCGGCGCCGCCAGAAACCTTCTGACCTCCTCGGAGCGCGACGTAAGGGGGCGGGCGTGTCCGTGACGTCACGAGGCCCCGCCTCCCGCGAGGCTTTGTGAGGGCTCCGCCAGGCGAGAGCGCGTGGTGTGCGCTCGGAGACCGGGCGCCCTGCAACCACACCTCTTCACTCACGACGACCCTACCGCGTCTAGGCCTTTGAAGATTTTTATAGTCACCAGATGAGTTTTTATCGGCCTTAGCGCCTTTAAATATTGTCCAAGTGGACGCTGATGGAAGGGAACAGGAGGAGCTGGAAGCGTATGTATAATTAATAGGGTTTTCTTTTCCCGCAAACTATTACATTTCTTCAACATTTGCCGTTTGTAATAATGTCAAAGTACTGCATCCACAGATGGGGTGGTAACGAAAAGCCACAGTTCTTTGTCTCACCCCTCCTACCTCCAGTCCCTCCTCCTAGAGACAGCTGTGTGCATTTTTATTTTTTAATAAACGCTTAGCTGTCTGTTAGTCTTTTTGACTCAGCTATTTCCTTAAGGCTTTGTAGCCATGGTTTATTAAATTTGTCCACTTGGTTCCTGATCGTGATAATGATTCTGAAATGACTTTGAGTTTTATTTGTGTACTGAAATTTTAAAAAATAATTCTTTATTTAATTTTATTTATTCATTCATCCACTTTAATTTTACCAGAGAGAGATACACACAGAGACAGATGGAGGGAAAGTGAGGAAGCAAGCCACCAGGTCTGGGACTCGAACCGTGGTCGACCTTGTGGGAGTGTCCAGTGCCTTAACCACCACACCAGTCACTGATCCCCACCGAAATTTTTTTCAAGAATTACTTATTTAATTTTATTTATTCACTTACTTTCTAATTTGACCAGAGAGAGAGAAAGTGAGAACGCAGGCCACCAGATCCAGGACTCAACTGTGGTTGGCTGTGTGGGAGTGTTCAACCCTTAACCACTGCACCACCTTCTGGTCCCCCAATTTTTTTTTTTTTTAGAATTATTTTATCTAACTTTACTTATTTATTTTTATTTTTACCAGAGAGCGACAGAGCGAGCGAGCGAGCGAGAGAGAGACAGAGGGACAGTGAGAAAGCAAGCTGCCAGGTCTGGGATTTGAACCTCCATCTGTCATGTGAGAGTCCAGTGCGCTTAATCACCACACCACCTGCTGACCCCTGTGTACTTTAATTTTAAAGATTTGTTTCCTCTTAAAAAATTACTTTACCAAAGGTGCTTTGTGATTTTAAAAAAAGGCCAGCAGGTGGTATGGTGCAAAAGACAGTTGGACTCCCACATTGCTGACCAGGGTTTTAGTCCTGGATCCAGCCTGTTGAAAATCAGGGTAGATGTGGGTGCATGGACGCCCAAAATCCCAAGAGGAGAGTGGAGGAGACAGGATTATGGCATGGCCATGTCCCAGGTGGGAGAATGATTTCTCACTTTCCATCTCTCTGTCTCTGGCAAGCATTAAGCATCCTCTGGCAAAAAACTAAAAAAAAAAAAAAAAAAGGCTGACATTCAACTATAGTTTTATGTTAGGAAAGTTAATTGGACATTACTGTGAAGATTGCTACCCTGGGACTGAACTTGAAGGTTCAGTTTTGTCTTTTACTGATTGAGTGGCTGGCCTTAGTTGCACAGTGCTTGAGGGAGCTGAAGCCCATGTTTCCTACATGTTGAATTCCATCCCCAGTGGCTTGAAAAAACACACTGGGTACATACATGTGTGCCCAAAATCCTAATGGGATGGAGAAATGGAAAAAAAGGGATAGTGACATGGCTACCACAGTTACCCCCATGCACCTCTTAGGGGGTACTTCTCTCGCATGAGCCCTCTGGCAGTTAAAAAAAAAATCACAGTGATAGAGGTAAGCATATATGCCACATATCTTTTAAAATATATATATAAGCTTTTTAAGGTAATCAGGTAGACATCATTTAAACCTCCCAATCTTATTACCATTAAAAATGAGACAGCCAGACATGAAATACTTCATGATGTGATGCAATAAAAAATACAGTGCCTCCTGTAAAGTTTTCTTGATCCCTCAAATTGAACTCAAACATAATTAAGCCTTAGATCTAACCAAGTTTACAGGAAATACAGGGAATAGAAAAATAAATTCAGAAAGACAAACACCAAGAAGCAATCAGCTTCCATGGACACCTAACCTAATTTCCCCAACAGATTAAATTTAAAGTCAAGAATGAAAAAGCAGACTAAGAGACTAAGAGAGCCTTACAACAAACCGTTGTTTTCCTCATGATCTTTTTTTTTTTTTTGAGAGATTTTTGCTATAGGGCGCGTGCATTCGCCAGAAAGAGAGAGAGAGACAGAGAGATAGAAAGCGAGAAATCACCCCCCAAGGAGGATGGCCACGTTGCAATCTCTTCTCCATTCTCCTCTCAGGATCTTGGGCACGCACACACATGCGTCCAGTGCGAGTTTAAGCCACCCGGTCCAGGCCTCGAACTGTGGTCGACTAATGGGAGTCCAGCGACATAGCCATACGCTAACTGCTAGTCCCCTACCTCAAAATCTTATCTAAGACTAACTTGAGAGAATGAGCAAAATTTAAGTAAAGAATGAAACTCCATGTTATTCAGTAACTGTTAATTTTATTAGGTATGATGGATATATTTAAATAAAAAGGTCTTGGGCCAGCCTCATAATATTGTTCAGAGTTGTTCAGAGGAAGCCAGTTCTCACATGGCCAACTGTGCTTCAAATCCCAGTCCCAAGGCTTGAAAGACACACCAGGCACATGGTGTGTCAAGGGTCTTGATGAAAGAGTGAAATGGAGGAAAAAGAATTGTGGTTAAACAGGCCTCTTGAGAGGTATGCAGTACACTCTATCTCTCTCTGTCATGAATGCCTATATCTTCTGACAATTAAAAAAGAAAAAAAAAAAAAAAAGTACTGAGCCAGCTAGTGGGGTGGTGGTTAAGACAGCTATATCCCATGTGGCTGACTGTGCAGTTGAAGTCCTGGACCAGTGGCTTGAAAACCATGCCAGCATGTGTGCATGCATGCCCAAAATTCTGAGAGGAGACGAGAAAAAGGGGTTAAATATGATCATCCCCCCGGGAGGTGCTTTCTCACTTTCCCTCCCTTCCTCTCTGGGGAGTATATCACCCTATAATAAAGTAAGAAAAAGAATTTCTTTAAGTGATCTCTCTAATTGTGAGTGAGTGTAAATCTTTTCCTAAAATGGGGAAAATTTTGAAATATTTATAAAATTTTATTTATTCATCTATTTTAATTTGACCACAGAGAGAATGAGAGAGATGGAAAGTGAGAAATCAACCCGCCAGGTCTGTAACTTGAACTGTGGTCAGCCACATGGGAGTGTTCAGTGCCTTAACCAACATGCCACCTCCTGGTCCCCTGAGTGTGAATTTTTATATGTTTAAATGTCCTTTCTGCGAACTGTCTTTTCCCCAGTTTTCTGTTGGGTTTTTAATCCTTTCTCCTCCAATTTCTTTTCTTTCCTTTTTTATTTATTTATTTTATTATTTTGCTATAGGGTGTGTGCACTTGTAGGACAGAAAGAGAGAGAGGGAGAGTGAGAAATCACTCCCTGGAAGGATGACCACACCACAATCCCTTCTCCTCCATTCTCCTCCTGGGATTTTGGGCACCTATGCACGTGTGCCTGACGTGATTTTCAAGTCACCAGGTCCAGGACTCAAACTGTAGTCAACCATGCTAGAGTCCAGCATGTTAAACACTGTGCCACCTGCTGGCCCATGCTCACCTAAAGTGGCAACCTTTTCATGTGGAACTTACTAGCAAGGGGGCTGTGTTTTACCGCTGTGCCACTGTCTGGCCTCTTTACATTTAGATTTTTTACCTATTTGGAATTTATTGTTATGGTTGTTACCAAGTATGGATCTAGGGACCAGCAGGTGGAGTGGCAATTAAGTCACTGGACTCCTACATTGTTGACCACAGTTTCAGTCCTGGACCTAGCAGCTTTCTTTGTTTTCCCTCTCTTTGTCTCTCTCTGGTGAGTGTGCGTGCCTTGTAGCAAATTTAAAAATAATAACAATGATAGATATAATTACAGCAATAATTCTTTAAAAACAAAAATCAAAGTATAGATCTAATTTTACTTGTTTTTCAAATGGCTACCTAGTTATCCCAACACAAGTTATTAAAAAGTCCATCTTGGCGGACCAGCAGTTAGCATAATGGCTATGTCGTTGAACTCCCATGTAGTTGACCACGGTTAGAGTCCCGGACCCGGTGGCTTAAACTCATGCCAGGCACTTGTGTGTGTGTGTGTGTGTGTGTGTGTGTGTGCCCAAGATCCTGAGAAGAGTATGGGAAAGGATTGTGGTGTGACCATCCCCCCTGAGGGGTGATTTCTCGCTTTCTGTCTCTCTGTCTCTCTCTGTCTTTCTGGTGAGTGCACGTGCCCTATAGCAAAAATCTCTAAAACAAACAAACAAACAAACAAACAAAAAGTCCATCTTGTGGGGGTGAATGGGAGGAGTTCAGGAAAAAAAGCATTTAACAGACAGGAATTCATATAGACAGGGCAAATGGGTTGTGGAAAGGCATATCCCAAAAGAGTTAAGGAAAAAAAAGATCATTGCTAATCTTATATATATCAAAAATAAAAGGAAATACAAGTAGAGCAAAAATTCAAGATACACATTATAATGTGTTATTCTTTGTTGAAATGATGAATATGGTCAATCCTTGATTCGATTATTGTGTACTACATGCATGCTTTGAAAATCCGTAGTGTACTTCATAAAGATGTACATTAATTAAATGTAAACAAGGGGAAAACAGTTTTATAAGTATGTAAGCATATGCTGGACACATTCTCCTAGCATGTTATTCACGTCTCCAGATCTGGGACTCCAACTGTATAGCCAGCCACATGGGAATCCAGCTGCCTTAACCTCCACACCCATCTGCTGACCCCAATTTTAAAATAATTTTTTTCCTTTATACATGACAGAGCATATGCATACACATGTGAG